CTGGGGTACATCATTGCCTATTATTTTGGATTACTTACCTGCAAAAAGAAAAACATTACATTAATTTAGCCTACCATCTACATATGTGTAGAACACAGCTAATCAAATGTATCAAAACATATCATTTTCAAACAAGATACAAATTTATCAAGTTTCAAGAATATTGTATCTATAACAGCAGGAATACATTCAAATCCAAACTTCAATAGAACTACAGTACGTTGTAAATGTGTCGTACAACCAAAACATGTAGCACACAATATACAAAAAACAATAGTAGCAAGCTTCACAAGTTTCATATCATTCACAACCAATGATAACACAATGCCAAGAAGACAATGACAAAATCTAGGAACTGATTTCAAACACTTATTATCAACTAATGAGCTCTTATCTTCTTTTACCACTAAACATTGAGACTTACTTTCTGGATTAAACAATTTCCTATCACTCATAGGTTCCTCCACATCTAAGCTCTCAAACATACTTCTAGGTGAAGAAGATGAATCAAAATTACCAAACATAGAGAACACTTTAGGACTCTTCCTAACCTCATCTCTAACAAATAGGTAATTTTCAATCTCATTACTATTATTTGAAACAATTCCAACATTGCTTTCAATTTCAGAAACTGTATTTTCAGACTTATTCACAATAGGCTGGCCAGCAACAGGTAAGATTCGAAAATCACCAACAAAAATATCAGTTTCACTGTATAAAGCAAAATCTACCTCATTTTGAACACTATCAAAAACAGTATTAATCTCTCCCTCAAATTTGATATTATCAATTTCAACATCAATTTGCACAATTTCAGCAGATTGAACACAATCAGAAACATAATCAACATAATCTCTCACTCTCTCAACCTCTGCATTTTCGTTTCTTAGAACAGATACACTTTCAGCAACATTATAGTTAATTACAGAATCAATCGCAGCAATTTCAATGTCAACAAATTGCACATTTTTGGATTCACAAACAACACGCTGAATATCAATAGATTCAAAACTAAAAACAGATTTTACAGCTTTAATTTCTCTGTTTTCTATATCAATCAAATTATGCTCCACCTTATTCCTATACTAGAAACATTTGTATCAATATCACTAATTTCATAATCAACCAATTCATATTCTCCAATATCCAAACATGGCATACAACATTCATTAAATGTCACATTATTACTAATAACAGTTTTCAAACCGGGTCTAGAACTTAACCACAATTTATACCCTGTAACACCATATCCTAAGAAAACACAATTTTCAGTTTTCATCTCAGATTCATCAATGCAAATATGTACCACAGCATGACACCCAAACACACAAACATTAGATATGTCGACTAACCTACCCAACCACTTACTTTCAGGAATTTCACCGTTAAGGGGGATAGAGGGTATTCGATTTAAAAGATAAACTGCTGTTACAGCAGCCTCACCCCAAAATTTTCTAGTTAAACCAGACGATGTCAAAAGACATCCAACTCTTTCCAAAAGAGTATGATTTAACCTTTCAGCAATCCCACTAAATTGGGATGCCTTGGGGACAGATTAAAAATTGATACAATTTTGCACACAAAAATTACTAAACCAGATATTACAAAAATTTAAACTATTATCAGCTTTAATATATTTACTTTTTTTGTCAGTTTCAACTTCAATTTGAATTTTCCAATTCTTGAAATTTTTAAACAAATCCAATTTACTTTTCAATAAGAAAATCCAAATTTTTCTAGAAAACTCGTCAACAACAGTTAAGATATATCTACTCCCACCATAAGTGGGTTCATTAGAAGGTTCACATAAATCAATATGTATACATTCCAAAATATGTTTTGAAAAAATATAATTTTCAGGGGTTTTTAACGAAAATTGAACTTTATTTAATTTTTCAGGTTTGCATATATTACAAAAGGGAATAATAGAAAATTTTTCATTTTCCAAATAACCAGATTCATGCAGAATTTTCAAGCCATTATTGCTAATATGACCTAATCTATTATGACATAATTCAGAATTATCAAATTCAGAATTATCAATTTCAGAATTATCTAAATCAGAACATACACTCACAGCAGAAGTTACATATAAGTCATTTTTTAATTCTGCCCTAAAAATCACTAAAGACCCTTTTGTTATTTTCATGCAATTTAAACCCCACTTTCCTTCTAAACCTAAAGTAGATAATCTAACACATGACAACAAATTATTGGACAAATCAGGCACATATCTCACATCATGCAATTTCAGTATATTTCCAGATTTAAATTTCAGATTAATAACACCAATTCCCTCAACTTTACACACACGTTTATCAACCATAGTCACATAACAATGTGTTAAAGTCTTAAACTCAGAAAAATATTTTTCAAAGGTGTCATATGAAATGTGCAAGCAGAATCAACTATCCATTCATTAGCACTCAAAATATTTGAATTTAAATATGGACAAACAGCAAACACATTTCCGAAATCATTGTCAATAACAGTCATATTGGCTAACTCACTTGCTACATTATTATTATTATGTTTCTTAGGGCAATATCTAACAAAGTGTGAAGGATCACCACAATTATAACATCTCTTTCCTCCTCTATTAGGAGTTCTAGATCTATTACGACTTCTATTATTATTATTCTGATTTTTAATTTTATTATGAGAATTTTCAGAATTATTATTCCTATTAGATCTAAAAGGAGACCTACCCCTAATAAACATAACATCACCAGAGTTATTAGATTTATTTACATTCAAATCTAATTCTTTACTTTTCAAACCATTAATAACCACATCTAAAGTCACAAAATCACGCTCATATTTAATTACCAATTTCACATCAGAAAAAGCACTTGGAATAGCATTCAAAAGAATTATTGCACTATAATCATCTATCTTCTTATCACCAGTAAGCTTAATATCTTGAATTAATTTTTTAAAAACATCAAGATTTTCATCAATAGTTTTAAATTGATCAAGTTTAAAACTAAATAACTTTTCTAACAAATAAAGCCTACTAGGTAAAGAAGTTTGAGTATATAATTCATCCAATTTATTCCACAATGCCACAGCAGATTCTTGTCTACCAACCTTACGAATTACATGATCAGCTAAATTTAGAATTATACAAGAAGAAGCCATTTCAACCAACTCAGCCTCTTTTCAAGAGGGACTGTGGTTGCTTGATCCGGCTCCACAGCTTTTATTAATTTTTGAGTAACAAGTATACTTCTCATTTTTTGTTTCCAAATAGCAAAATCAATTTTTCCATCCAAAGGTTGGATATTAAAAAAGGTTTGCCCAGCCATGATCAACAGTTTTCGAAAGAAAAAGAAAATTTCCGAAAAACACAATTTGTTTGGCAAAAAATGTTTGTTTTTAAAAAAAATAGTTTATTGTGAAAACAGTTTATTAAAATACAGATTATTTTAAAACAAATTGAGAACCAAACAAAGACCCAAATCACAACACATTAATAGCAATTCACAGAAAACAAATACAACAGTCAAACACAGCAACAAATATATCACAGAATATTGCAATCACAGGCAAAGATTAACAAAAAAAGCCTATCTATTACAACATTCATTCGTGACTATTCCACCGAAGGTACTCGAGAATCACTCACAAGAGTGAGGATCGGAGTTTTGCAACCTTGGTATCATAATAGCCTTTACAATCGATTGGGCGGAATTTAAATGCGGATATTAAACTAAAGTAAAATAACAGTAATAAAATAGTAGGGTTAAAGAGTTTACCCTCGAAGTACAGCAACAATATATTCCCTACAGCAGTACAAAGGTATATACAAATAACCTATTCTTTTTTTTTTTTTTCAAGAATAGGGGTTAGCCAACTAATAACAACAAAACCAGAAACAATGTTTCTCCTCTAAACAAAGTTAGAGTCACCGAAACTCACGAACAGAGACACTAGGCCACAAATACAGATTTAACAAGATCTTTCAAAAAGTTAATTTTGGTCTTAAAGATTCTTGAAAAACTTTTGGATTTTAACCCAACAAGCATATATCTACACGAAAATAAGGTGGAACAACAAGTTTTACGGTTTATTTTCTTAAAATAACAACGGACAAAATCGGTTTTCACCAAATCGAAACGATTTTGAACCGTTCTAACCGAAATGGACTCGAACTTAACCGATCTACACAAAACAGTAGCAAATATGAAAGAGCTCATAGTTGCACAGTCCAATTCAAAACCGATCAAAGCAAGATGAGAGAGCTCAAGATAAAACAGCATTATAACAAATTATTCAACTAAAATAATTAGAACTTACATGATTGAGCATCCAAGAACCACAAAACAAGTGTCTGGAATGAACTAAGCATCTCCTCCTACCTAGACAAAGAGATGTGGACTGTGAAGATATACTCTTAATGTAAAAGATAAGCAAATATCTCTAATATTTTCATATTTTACCTGATGTGTCCTTCAGGTGATTGGTTCACACAAGACAAGGCTTTGTGTTTTGTTAGTGCTAATTCTAGTGAACTTTGTGCAGGCGGCCTTCCCTTTGGAAGGATTTTTCCCATTTGGACTATTGTAGATGCTAAATTTCTAAGCATGAAATGGCAGGATGTGTTATCCCAAGCAAATTCCATGACATCGGTACACTACCAAAAAAATGGTCATTTGTAGCGAAATCTTTTCCGCTACAATTTTTTTGTTACAAAAGCTATTTTTTGTTCCGGATATTTTCGTAACAAATAGCTTTTTCGGTTTGGTCAAAATTTTTCTTTTGTTGCGTTATTTTTTTTGTTACAATTACAATACTTTTAATTTTAAATTTTATACTAAAATAATCTAAATTAATATATCACATATATATCATATATACATACACATATATAATATTTATATATTAATATATACAAATTGAAATTTAAAAAAATATATATTTATTTAAAATTGAAACTATTATATACAATAAAAATTAAAATAAAATTAAAATTAAAACATTTTTAAATAAACCCTAATGCGCCGTCCAATTCATATCTTCTATTTCGTTTTCTCTGTTCTTCTTATTCACTTTTCTTCTTCGTCCTTCTTGTTCTTCTTCGTCCTTCGTTCTTCTTCTTCTTCTTTTTCTTTCCTTTTCTTCTTCTCTTTCCCATACGTCCTCCTTCACCTTCCTTTAATTTCTCCGCCCTGCACCCTTGAACAGCGCACATCTCCACCTTCGTCGGCCGTTAATCGCGCTCTGCCACCGTCTTCCTCGACCTGTCGATAGCGAGTCACCGCTGCCTACCAACATCCTGAAATGCCAACCCTAGATCTTTCCGTGAGTTTAGATTTATTTATTGTTTTGTGTTATTTTTTGTTGTCGATGTTTATTTAGATGGAAGAAACTTTCAGTAAGATTGGACCAATAAGAAGATGCTTTATGGTTACCAAAAAAGGTAGGCTAATCTAGTGCCCACGTTGAATTTGAGGATCACCTGAAACAAGTTTATGATTTTAAATGTTGTGGACAACCAAAAGAATAATACTTAGATGGGATGGGATTGATTTTAAAATTGCTTATTTTGAAGTAAAAAAATCATGATTTTTTTTATTTCTTGTAGCAAAAACATTTTGTCTAGACTAAGATTTTATTTTTGATCGGTCTTTGCTTGTTTTTATATTAGGATCAAGTGAGCATCGAAGGTTTGGCTATGTTCAATTGTAAGTAAAATTTTTTGTTTTAATAATTTTTTTCTGGATTTTGTGAGTGGTACTAGTTTTGATATTGATTCTCAATTGTAAGTATTGCCATTCAAGATACTAATCATTCCATTGAGTTGAAGAATTGTTCAGTTGTTGGAGGTAGAAACATTCTAGTTAAAAATACCATGTATGGTGGTCAGCTTGAGCAGCTTCGAACAAAAGACAATGAAGGTGTGTTATTTTCAAATTGTTGCATCTTTTATGTGTCTTTCTTGCCTCACCATATAACACATTGGTTGATAGATGAATATTATGTTCTTTTCTTGTTTTAAATTTAACTTTTACAAGTTTATGATCATTTTGAATTTGTGTTCCTATGTTTGGGATTCTTAATTTTCTTCCATTCAATTTGAAGATGCTATCAAGCTAGAGAGTAACAATAATAAAGCTTTGTAATTCCAAGCAAAAGGTTCTATTTTAAGTCTGCATCTGTTATGTGGTAATTTAGAATTGTACACCATTGCTTGTTTTATTATTATGGTTTGGAATCTTGATTTTCTTCGGTTCAATCTGGATATATTGTTAAACCCGAGAATAACAAGGTTGTTACAGTAGCAGACAAAACTGACAAGGCTTCACAATTCCAGACAAAAGGTTCTAGTTTCAAGTTTGCATATGATATGTGGTGTTGTCATTTACTGCACACCGTTGCTTGTTTTGTTATCAACCTTATTAATATTGAAAATATCATGTGAGGTATAATGAGAAAAAATCGGTTGCAGTTTCTAGTATGCGTCCCAAGAAACTGAAAAGTTCTGAAAACGAGACATTTTTTTCGAATTTTGTTGTTTTATTTTTCTTCTTGTTATGGTTGATGTTAAAATTTTTAAGTTAATTTGGTCCAAAAGTATCGATAAATAATTTTAATATTTAGGTTATATGAATATATGTCTTGAATAACTTGTTGGTTTGCACGTGTATTTTGGTGTTGATATAGATTAAAGTATGATTATTATTATTTTTTAGTTTGGTTGGTATTCATGTATTGTTTTTTTGTTGAATTTTAATTAATAGTATATGTTCACGAGTTTATTGGTTACTTGTGATGGTTTTCCAACTTTCGTATTTGTTTGATTTGTAGATCTTAGTTTGATGCATTGTGTTAGCTATTAATTATATAATAGGTTAGTGGATTTTTTTCTATGATTAATGAATAACTATTAATTATAGAATAGCTATTGTCATTGATTTACTTTTGGATTTGCATTGTGGATGATTCTATAGTTATGATTGTGAGTTGTGTTGTTACTGCCAAAAATAAAGAACTTATTCTTCATATACACTTAGGTTTTGTAATGAATTATGGATTTCATGACTCATATTCTTCATTTTATTTGTTTATCCTTGCATATGATATGGGTTATGTATATGAGGTTTGTATCTAATTTGGAACAGGAATTTGGGCTGAACTTGAACAATTTTGATTAAAGTGCAGCCCATGAATTTATTTTTACTTTATTCCAGATTTAATTTTCTTCCGTTGTTTAGCTCTTTGGAAGTGTGGATTTGTGGTGTAGAATGTTATCATGTATGAATTAGCTATTATTAACTAAAATTTTACATTTTAAACATTATTTCTTTGTTATTTTCTCTAAACTTTCTCTATGTCTTGTAATGCATGATGCTATGCTTCTGTTCGTCTGGTATATAGGGAGACGTTTCTGCTAAGCAAACAAGCACTGCCTCGACTGTTTTCTTGTGATGTATCAACAAATTCAATTAAAAAGTTATCTTTTATTCCTGTCAATTATGCATTGTTATCTACCAAAAAATTTATTCTATAATCATTACTGGATTTCTATAAGGATGCAGACATCAATACTGGATTAATCCTAGTGAATTTTTCTTGCATATTTGATTAGTCACGGCAGTATGGCTATAATTGACATTATTTCAGGTATGAAAATTATCAAAATCACTAGGAAATATTACTTTCATATAGGTAGTAAAGAAAAAGTGTAATCAAGCTTGTGTTCTGACAATTCAGTTGTGGAGATTGACTTTTCTTCATTTGTTGCAGTAGCCATGTCTGAACTTATCGCTAGCTAAAGTCCAACTTATTATTTGTCAATTGGTTTGTACAATAGAAATTGTTCACTAACTTTATGGATTTCTTGTGCTGATGATTTCATAAGTTTCTTCACATTAAGTGTAACGGGTAATCATTATAATGACTTGTTTTTATATCATGAGCTAGGCCAAGTGAAAAGAGCTACATGCATCTATTTCTAATTTGTGGGTCTTTAAGTTTGTTGGTTGATTTATGAAAATCCAATCTACTGCATGGAATTATTTTGTGATTCTTGAAAATGAATTGTTTGCTTTTGCATTATTTTGTTTGTGGGAATTTGTCTGCCCGAAATTTATAGGGCTTGGTATTTACCTGTATTGTGTGAACATGTTTGTCTTGCACTTGAGCATAATCAATTTATATTGCTCAGAACTAAGTTGAATGCATTGGAGAAAAACATCATGTATATGCTCAAGAATCAAGTTGATTAACTACATCAATAGTTAGAGAAATAGTTCCGTATTTTTTAAGCTAAAAGTTTGGCTTGACTATATCTATAAATTACTTTCTTTTAATTATCAGAAAATATAATCTATTTGCTTACTGTAAAGGTTGAGATATCTTGAATACTGAAATGCTACTTAATAATCAATTCAATACTTCGCTCTCATGAGTACATAATATTTAAATCTATGTGCATCACAGGTAGACAGGCTTTAGACATTGTACAGAAGTTGGGAAGATGACTCGGATGTTGGGTTTGTAGTTTTGAAGATTGTCTTTTTGCCTCCCAAGTCACTTGTATTTTATTTTCGTGTTTTCACCTAACATATGGTTGGAAAATTTTGAAAGGTAGAGAGACAAGGCATTTGCAGCTAGTGGTGATATTGTGTCCCTCTATAATATGCTGAAAGAATGTAGAATTATAATTTCCTTGTCTATTATTCAGTATTGTGATTTTTTTTTTATAATTGGATTATTCAGCTAATGAATGTGTCTTAGTGGTTTCTCCTATATGCATTATAGTCAAGGGCTCCAGTTCGGTACGATGCTACCTTTGGTTAACTGTTTTATGCCAACACTTTTGGATTTGGTAATAAAGAGATGTCATAACTTTTATGTGAGAATAATTTTGCTGCATTTTTTTCTATTGTCCTTGCCTCTTCTCTTATTCATTCCATCAATTTTGTAAAAAAAATAAATATAGGTTATGTTTTCGATTCATGCAGGAAATCTAGAAACTTGCAAGCATTTCTTCTGGATATATATAGTTTTATATATTTTCTCGGTATGCATTTGAAGCCACATGTGAATATCTCTTAGGTCATGATTGTTTTGTATATTTATTAATGCTGCAGTATCGATCATCCGCTTTAAGATAATGAAATTTTGTGAGTTGCATTTTGTTTTCAATGATATGCACATGTTTTCTTTATATGTATGTAGGTTATACCATTAATATAGTAAAGCTTTTTTCACGGCTGTTACCGTTCCGGAGGCTACGCTAATTCACGAACGATTTCTAAAGTGCAAACACTCTGTGAGTTTGTCCATGTCGAACCAACCGACTGGACATTCAAGGATGTACGTAACTATTTTTATAACTTTCTATTAGATTATAACTTAATCAACTCGCAAGTAAATTCTTATATAATTTTTCACTATGTTGGCAGCTTGTTCGTCACGCGTAACTACCGTGTATATTCATTTTGACGCTGCATGGGGCGATGCAGCGTTGCATGTAATTCTATAATGATAACTTTTGTTTGTGGATTGATACTAAGTCCTTTACGTAGGTTGAACTTGCATATGTTGCTTCATTTTGTGTGTTTGTTGCTATATTTTGCCTTTGGATTGTATATGTTGGCTGTGTTGCGAACTAGTTATGTTCCTAAACAGTGCGTACTTGGTGCTACTAATGGTTGTATTGCGAACTAGTTATGTTTTTCGGTTCCGATACTATTTTTTTGTTATTACTAAAAAAATAAGGATACACTTTTTGTTGCGAAATTGTGTTCGTTACAAATACCGGTACAAAAAATTATGAATGTCGTTTAAAATATTTTTCTGACAATCAGTTTATTGTAACAAAAATTATACCGTAACAAAAGCTATTACAAATGCATGAACATTTATTGTAACGACTCTTTTATTACGAGAAACATCCGCTACAAATAAATCAAAAAACATTGTTAGCGTTACAAAAGCCGTTACAAAAATATTTCTCACTCGCGTTGACTGTCCACTTTTTGTTACGGAAAATATCGGTAAGACTTTTTGTAACTCGAGTATATGCACGGGCCAAAATCCGGTACAAAATTGTTACAAATAGCTTTTTATAATAAAAAATGGCCATTTGTAGAGGTTTTAAAGCCGCTACAAATAGCCATTTTTTTGGTAGTGGTGGAAAACCATTAGAATAAATACGCTATCTATCAGGATAAAAAAAATCAAACAGTGCATCAAACTACATCATTGAAAGAATAGCAACACATGCCATTTTCTTCTCGAGCATTATATTCAATGCTTGCATTGGCAACTTGTTGTACATCAAAGATTTGAAAGAGAAAAGTAAGGAAAACATGAGTACTCAATGGAAGGAAAAGGGTATATATACCGAAAACCATATGCGAATGGGAATCTGCAAAACAAAAAAATTGAAGTACCTCTGTTTCAGGAAATACTCCCTTTACCCTTGCAATATATTGTTTCTTAATCTCTCCTGATTCAATCTGAAACATTAAGCCATGATATGATAAAAATCAATATATTTATCATCCAAGTCTATTTTATGCATAAAAGAGGTTTGAAAAACAACTAGTTACTTTGCACATAACACACATATAAATATTCCTTTAATATATAAACTACTTGCTGCCGAAAAATTTTAGCTTTAGAACCACTTCTGGCTAGGATAAGAAGTCCATAGACCAAGCGGTCTAACCTATGTATTGCTGATATTTACAAGCTAAGGATATCATAAAGCTAAAGGTGTATCAGATGGTAACAAAGAGTGTGAAATTATTATTCACAACTATTCTGCATATCTTACATCTTGCCGAGAAGGATGTCGGAGGCGAAGAAGCCGTGAGAAGATGTAGATGATGAGGCAAATCGAGGCAGATGTGATGAATGATGATAACAATAATAATTGAAGACGACGGAGAAGCATATGCCATCGACGAGCCGACAAGGACGGCGCCGTCTGTGGCATTGTGAAGATGGATCTGCCATCGACGGCGGTTACCTGCGTGATAACGAGCGGAGCAAATTTAGGGTTCGAATTTGTGAAATAGGAAAGATGAAAAGGACTGAAATTTAAATTAAGAATTTTTTAAAATTTTTTTAGAAAAATAAAAAATGAAAATAAAATAAAATACACGTTACGCCCTCTCATTGATGATGCTGAATGGGGCCGAGACCACTTTGATGTCGAGGATCTGAAGCCCCCCAGACCGGTTTCATCTAAAAGAACTGGCAAAAATAGTCCATCCGAAAATTCATTCCAAACACGAAAAATTTGTGTTTGGACCCTAAAAAATAGGCCTATATTTTTTCGGGCCGTGTCTGGCCCGGCTTGCCAATGAACTGGGTCGTGCCAGACTCATGAAAGTTGGGCCGTATGTGTTTCACCTGACCCGGAGATACCAGTAGAACCTATTCCGAAGGATGAGCCACTCATTGAAGCATCGGAGGATGATAAGACATCGATTGTGAGTTTAGATTTCGTCACAAATGATCACGACTTGGAGCGTAACCTACGGTATGAAAATGACTTCAAAATCAATGTGGTTGGGTTCTTGCCAAGAAAGTCAAGATCCTTTAAATCCAACCGCCATGCCTCCTAGGGGGCAAATGTGATCCTACAATGACCTGGATCATCGCTCCGCTAAGTTTGAAAGGAAAGAGCCGCCGGACAAAGCTGCTGCCAAAAGATAACAAAGGAGCTACCAAAATAGAATTGTCGTGTGAAACCCGAGTCAACGTACCTCCGAAACCTTATACAAAAATATTAGGCTTCAAAGTTCGGCATTTCAGGCAAACTTTTTGCCCAATTATTCTTGTGTGGCATTTGTTACTCCCAAATATTTTTGGGCTTCCAAAAGTGATTAAGAGCCTAGCCCGAATGTTAGACAAGGCGGCCTAAAGCTAATCCATCCCAAGAGTCCACCATGGATGAGAGAAATTCAGCAGCCCAAAACTGCTCCGGCCTAGAAGCCTATTAAAAAATCCCATTCGAATAATATAAGTAATGGAAAGAGTTTGTTCCTAAAATAATGAAAAGTTAGAAAACCTAGGAACAAGCAACCCAAACTACTTAAAGAAGAGCAAGAATCAAACGAGGGATCATCATCATACATGATTTGTTGTTTTTTTTTTTTTTTTTGAGTTTTTTTCCCTAATTTCTTGTTAATTTATTTTATTCAATTCAATTCATTTCTTTCTTGGTTATTCGTCTACTACTCTTCTTTCATTTTCAAATACTATTTCAACAAATTAACCTTTACATAATTAGACACATTAGTTTTTCTTGGTTATTCGTCCACTGCTCTTCTTTCATTTTCAAATACTATTTCAACAAATTAACTTTTACATAGTTAGATACATTAGTTTTTAATTGCAAGATACTTTTTTGAGTAGGCCGAAAAATTCAATTTTTATCGATTTCAATCGTCATCGACAAAATTTTTAGTGATAATATTAGTATTGTGTAATATAAAAATAATGATATTTGTATAATTATTGTAGCTGAAATTCGTTGATGACGGCCCAATGAATCTTGAACAATCGAAATCGACAATAATCGGGTTTCCCGGCCCACTCAAAAAAGTATCTGAGCTAAGTCTCGCAATAAGAACAAATTAATATGAATATGATGTGATTAATTTGCTGAAATTAGGAAGTATAACCGTACACTCAAAGAAGAAATTAAATTAAATTGGAAAAAAAGGATTTCAACAAGAAAATAGAAACAAGAAAGGGAAAATAATTAAATGTGCATACATAAAAGAATGCAAAAATGTAATAAAATATAAGGAAAGAACAATAAAAGAAGAAACAATAAATAAATTTTGAAGTGGACAGTGCAGGACGTCTGAATCATGATTCTCCTTCTCATATTTATATATTTATGTTTCTTACTCTTAACGTCTCTAACTACCCACTTCTTTCCACCCAACCATTATATTTATTCACTCTCTCCACTTTCTCAAACTTCCACCATTTTAGGAACAAACCTCCCCCACTATTCTCATTATTCTTCTTATCCGATTTGAATTATTTTCTCATCCGAGGTGGGGTCTTCTGGGCTAGATGGGCATGGACCTCCGGGCTGAATTTTTTTGTAGGCCGGATGAGCTTATCCTCTGAGTTGGGCCGCCGCTTTTCATCGGATGTGAAAATTAAGGAGTAACAAATGCCCCCTCACAAAAATATTTGGGCAAGAAGTTTGCGGAATTTTGAAACCCAATATTGTCGTATAAGGTTTCGGCGGTACCTTGGTCCGAGCTTCATATGGCCTCATCCGGCAATAGCAGGGAGCTGGTCCGGGTTATCTCAGGGTCAAATTCATTGGGGAGTGCAGCGGTTGGGATTAAAGCTTCTCGATTTTCTTGGTAAAAATCCAATCACCTTGACCTTGAAGTCATTTTCGTACTCTAGGGCTAGTTCCAAGTCTCGGTTGTTGGCTTTGATGTCGAGACTAGCCTCTGAAATTCCATCATCTTCGAGAGACCTAATCATAGGTTCGTCCTCCATATCTGAAGCTTTTGGAACCTCCGGAGGAGGTTGTTCATCCGGGACAGCTTTGTTGTCCAAAATCACTCGTTTTGGCCTCCACTCTTGTCGGTTCGGCACAAACATCGCAAACCACTATTGTCTGACATATTTTTATTCTGATCCGTCCTTGTATGGCCTGCTTGGAGCTCACTTCCTTGCTGCTCCATCTTCTTTTGACCGGAACTAGTTGTCCGGCGCCGATGTTGTTTCTGCCGTCTTTGCGCTCCCATTTTTTTCTTCCTCCGATCGCATGTTTGACGCTCATCACTCGGGGGCTGCTTGTAATGCTGCGTTAGATGAAAGGCTATCATCACTCGGTCCACCAAGGCCACCCTCCATGTTTTTCCATTTTTCTGAAAATGGATTTCTGCAAATGTGTCGCTATGGTTCCTTCAGTTTTCGTTGGCCCTTGCTACTGATGCGCGAGGTTTCATTGGTTGTACTCCAACGGTATTGATTGGTGTATGAGACGGCTGGGTGGTTATAGGGGTTCGATTAGATCCTTCATCGACATCAAAATTGTCTTCTTTCACATGTGGTGAATGATCTTTGCCGCTAACTTACGGATGAGGTGTTCCGTCTTGGCCGTCTTTGCCAAAAGCTTTCGAAAATTGTTATACTCTTGAAGGGCCAATTTTTTCATGAAGTTGACACATCATATTGTCGACTACCATGTCAACGACTTGGTTTTCGGGTATCCACACCTGACATTGACCTTCTACCCTTTGAAATCTTTCAAAAAAACATTCTATCGGTTCATCATGCTTTTTCCGTAGGTTAGTTAGGTCCGAATCGTCACCTCCGGAAACAGGTTGTAAAACTACTCGTGGAATGCCTTTTCTAGGTCTTCTCATGTATGAAATGAATTAGGATGGAGAGATGTATACCATGCAAAGGCCGATCCGGTGATGGATAATGGAAATAGTTGGAGTTTGTACCACTCATTTTTTCCGAAGTCCCCTCTACATTGCGCCATGAACCGATTGACATGCTCAATCATTGAACGCGAGTCGTCCCCCGAAAAATGTATGAACTTTGGGGTCCGAGCATTCCGAGAGAGAGGATAGTTGACGGTGATCCGATGTGGGAATGACCGTTGATAATACGGCCTTACGGGCAGCCGGCCGGTGTTGCCGTAAATTCTTTGGACTGCCTCTTCAATCACCTGCGGATCGATAACCGGCTGCTGCAGTGTGTGTATTTTTGCGTGTCCTGCGGGCTGCAAGGGGGCTGGTGCTGGTTTGCTTAGACCTGAGCCTATTATGTTTGAATTTGACAGAGTTAACTCTTTCGGAGCCGACAGGTCTTTCCAGGTCCGTCCCGACACTGATGATGCTTCTAGAGGTGGCGGATCTACATCCCTTGCCACCCTCGGAGGTGGTGGCCTCGTCGAGAATGCCTTTTGGGTAATTTCCGGAGCTGGATGCGCTCCGGATATGGCAGGGCTGTCCTTCGGGTAATGTCCGGAGCTGAAAGTGTTCTCGGAGGTGGCGGGGCTGTCATCCGGGCAGCATCTGGAGTTGGAAGTGTTGCTGAAGATGGCGGGGTAGTCCTCCATGCAATATCTGGAGCTTAAAGTGCTCCCAGATGTGGCGGGGCTGTCCTCCGAGCAATGTTTAGAGCTGAAAGTGCCACTGGATGCACCTCTCAGGTCATCCGTGGCGCCGTTGACTCTGAATGTACTACCAGAGGTATCTCTGAGTCATCCGTGGAGCTGGGGGTGGTCCCAGAGGAGTTTAACTGCCCACCAAGTCATCTGAGGCGCCGCCGGAGCCCGAAAGTTTCCGAATGGTACCGAAACCCCGTGATTTGGACATCCGTAATCCTGGAGTTGCCCGGACGTCTTAGGAAAATTCATCTCGTAGTATGTTCCTTGCCCCTCATACGGAGGTGGCACCGATGGAGTTGGTACATGTGATCTCCACGTCACTGTGACGGCCGAAAGGGCTGATCCACAGGATCCCGTAGAAGGTGGAGTTGCCCCCAAGGGTATACTCGAAGGTGATGCAAATGCCCCTCCCAAGTGATCCCCAGAGTTGATGGGGTGACCGGAAGTGTTGAAGTCGTAGTCGGCCATGCCCCCAAGGATAAGTAGCTCCTCATCCGACAGGAATGTTTCCTTGACCGATCACCTCTGCAGGTGATTTCGGCACACTTACGCCACCGAAAAAAAGATTTTTGTGCCATTGAGACGCTGATGGTGGAGACCCACTGCCCCCCGGATGAGATTGTGGATGTGGAGGTCCATACCCATGTTGTGTAGTTGGTCCGGCTGGAAAAGCTTCCTGGTATGTTGCCCCCAGGTGGAGTCAGCACGGCCGGAGCTAGTGTACTTGAGCCTCAAGCCACTGCTACAGCCGATGGAGCTGACCCCATAGACTCAGAGGAGCAAAAGCTGCCCCCCAAGGCAGGTGCGGAGGTGGGGCGGATGCCTCCCAAGTCATCCCTAAGGCCGGAGGAGCGGCTGGAGGTGTTGAGGCTGTGGTCGACCATGCATCCCAACGG